TTTGCACTGCCCCCCCCACCCCATCCCTTTTACGCTGCTGCTACTCTGTTAAGTATTTATGCATAGTCACTTTAACTCTACCCACATGTACATATTACCTCAACTAGCCGGTGCCCCCGCACATTGACTATGCAACGGTACCCCCCTGTATATATAGCCTCCCTACTGTCACTTTATTCTATTGTATATATAGCCTCCCTACTGTCACTTTATTTTTTACTTCTGCTCTTTTTTTCTCAACACTTTTTTGTTGTTGTTTTATTCTTACTTTTTTGTTTAAAATAAATGCACTGTTGGTTAAGGGCTGTAAGTAAGCATTTCACTGTAATGTCTGCACCTGTTGTATTCGGCGCATGTGACCAATAAAATTTGATTTGATTTGACATTAGGTTTATGCAGTTTTACTACGCGATACATTACAAAAAAAGCAGCGTTAGACAGGATTACCGAGATATACTGACCAGCTCAAATAGACAGAAGCGTGCTATGTGGCAGACCAATCCCAACTCATCTCTCGGCATGTCCAGCCCACTCATTATCTTAGCCAATCATGGCTAGCGGGAAGATTGCTGTCTTTTTCTCTGGCTAAACCAACTAGGCTTGTAATTTAACAATTGTATTTGTATTTACAGATGGCATACAAGTTTGTTAATAAAGCACGTGAAAGTTCACATGTTCGAGAAGGCATTTCTGCCAAAAAAACACATTTTGATAACATACGCCTAGTTTCCTGAAATGGGTCACAAATAACTGCCGGTCTCACGGTAATTGACCGTAATTAACATAAACACATTTAGCATCTACTGGCTGCCATGCATAACTTACAAGCCACTGATGCAGACCTTTGGAACATCTACATTTTAAAAAGTATAATAAATCCACGTAATATAGCCTACACCATCACAATAAATCCATTATTTATTTTAGACAAGTCTAAAGAAACATGATATGAAGAAAATGTAGTCTATTTCAGAAGAACATAATGGCATACTCTGAGTTGTCCATATGTGTGGCCCTGATCCGGCTATGCCATATGGCTGTGGGCTACACTAGCTAAATTAGCAGACAAGATTTGCTTAGAATTCCATGGCATTATTTTATAGTATGAAGAATACAATTGAACATAGCTGAATAAAATAAAAATGATATTTTCTCCAAACGATTTGAGGGAATGTGCACATGTTATGTGTTGATGGTTAACAAAGAAACAGGTATGCTTACTGCTTAATTTAGAGTTATTTATGTAACTTTAGTTGTGATACAAATGTTGGGCTATATGTTTAGATTTTTTATACATTCTAAGGCTGCATGATGTGACTCTAATGATGATTTGAAAAAGGTTGCATGAAAGGCATGAGCTCTGCTTTGTTTTTTGCGCAGGCTGTACACACTTTATCAGTCTCTCCTTCACAATTTGACAAGCACTTGATAATACCTCCAATTTCCCGGCTGCATCCCCTTTGTGTGGCCGTAATGCCCCGTAAAAACATCCATGCCTTTTGCGGCAAGTGGTCGTTGTGCCCTTGGGCTGAATATAATTATTATTACAGGTGAAGACAGACATATCGGGGACACAACTGCGCGCGTCCTTATCCAATTCTGAGGCGCATATTGAAGATATTGGAAGAACTGTCCACATTTATTTTTCGTCAGCCAACAAGAAGAGTAGGCCTAACGAACAGCAAAAGCACAAGCCTATGTCACTCTACTATCACCCATAGTAGAATAGTTGATCTATTCTATTCTGTGCGACAAATAAATATTCCAAACATATTCTGGGACAGTTGTGGGATGTGATAGATCCCAAATTAATACAACCCCTAGCATCAAAAAACCTGTTTTAAGCAATGAGCCTGGCGCAACAGATGAGAATGTTTAGCTTAAAATGTTGATAAACTATTAGGTTATTTCTTCACATTATAAGCTCAGCAATGCGCACACGGCAGTAGGCTATAAGCGCGAATGTTCCATTAGCAGGAAAACACCATTCTCAAAAGTGACCACAAATGCGATTATGCATGTAATGCTTTTAATGTAAAGGTGTATTTTTATGGTGAACATTTTCTACCCCAAACTTGAAACTCACGAGCTGCGTATGTATGTATGCCAGTAAGGCTCTACACCCGTTGTCACGCCCTGACTCAGGGGACGTTTATTTGTTGAGTCAGGGGTGTGTATGTTCCGTGTAAGGTATGTTGTTTGTATGCTACCTTGGACTTCACGTTTCGTTTGTTGTTTTGTCGTGTGTTTAGCCGTAAATAAATATGAATGCATATCACGCTGCGCCTTGGTCCTTCTTGTTCGTAAACGATCGTGACAGAAGATCCCACCAAATGAGGACCAAGCAGCGTGTCCAGGAGCAGACAGCCTGGACCTGGGAGGAGATCCTGGACGGGAAGGGATCCTGGACTTGGGAGGAGATTCAGGACGGAATGGATCGCCGTCCTTGGGAGGAGACAGTGGAGGCGCGCTATAGAGAGGAGCAGCGGCAACGCAGAAGGTGCCGGCCGAGGAGGAAGCCCGAAAGACAGCCCCAATAAATAAAAAATTGGGGGCTAAAAGGTTGGTTGGCGGAGCCTAGTGTTAGAGCAGAGCCAATTCCCCGTACTCATGCAAGGAAGCGTGTGACTGGGCAGGCTCCGTGTTATGCGGAGCTACGTACTATACGTCCTGTGCGTCCTGTGCTGGCACCACGCACGTGTCGTGCGAAGATGGGCATTCAGCCAAGACGGGGTGTGCCGGCTTAACGCTCGTGGTCTCCAGTACGCCTCCTCGTTCCCGTATATCCTGCGCCGGTGCTACGTACTGTATCGCCAGTACGCGTGCACAGCCCCGTACGTCCTGTGCTAATGCCTCACACATATTGTGTGGAAGTAGGCATCCAGCCAGGACGGGTTGTGTCAGCTCTCCGCTCCAGACCTCCAGTCCGCCTCCATAGTCCGGTACGGCCCGTTCCTGCTCCCCGCACCAAGCCAGTGGTGCGTGTTCCCAGTCCGGCCCGGCCCGTTCCTGCTCCCCGCACCAAGCCAGTGGTGCGTGTTCCCAGTCCTGCCCGGCCTGTTCCTTTCCCTCGCACCAAGCCAGTGGTGCGCGTCTCCAGCCCGGTCCGGCCTGTTCCTGTCCCTCGCACCAAGCCAGTGGTGCGCGTCGCCAGCCCGGTCCAGCCTGTTCCTGTCCCTCGCACCAAGCCAGTGGTGCGCGTCACCAGCCCGGCCCGGCCTGTTCCTGCCCCTCGCACCAAGCCAGTGGTGCGTGTCGCCAGCCCGGTTCGGCCTGTTCCTGTCCCTCGCACCAAGTCAGTGGTGCGCGTCGCCAGCCCGGTCCGGCCTGTTCCTGCTCCTCGCACCAAGCCAGTGGTGTGTGTGTCCAGTCCGGCACGGCCCGTGCCTGTCCCACCGGTGCCTGGTCCGGCACCGGTCAGCTGCTCCACTCCGGAGCCAGAGCAGTCCGCTCCACCGATGCCTGATCCAGCTCCAGTCAGCGGACTGCTCTGGCTCCGGAATGGAGCAGCTGACCGGTGCCGGACCAGGCACCGGTGGGACAGGCACGGGCCGTGCCGGACTGGGAGCGGAGTCTGTGCAGTTCGATCCACCATCGTCGGGTCCAGCTCCAGTCAGCGGTTCCAGTCCAGACCCAGACGTCAGCCCCTCTCCAGGTTCGGGGTCTCCCACACCAGGGTCCAGACAGGGCTTGGTACTTCGTGGGAGGAAGGAGAGGGGAAGCAGCGCGCCGAGGTCCAGACCAAACCAGGGGCGCAACAGGGAGGTGGAGAGAAAGTGGTGGTCACGCCCGGAGCCGGATGCGGAATGCCCACCCGGCCCCTACCCTGTTATGTTTATGTGGCGCGGTCGGAGTCCGCACCTTTGGGGGGGGTACTGTCACGCCCTGACTCAGGGGACGTTTATTTGTTGAGTCAGGGTGTGTATGTTCTGTGTAAGGTATGTTGTTTGTATGCTACCTTGGACTTCACGTTTCGTTTGTTGTTTTGTCGTGTGTTTAGCCGTAAATAAATATGAATGCATATCACGCTGCGCCTTGGTCCTTCTCGTTCGTAAACGATCGTGACACCCGTTGTAAAGCGGATTAGTGTGTTTCATTGTAATAAGTTATCTGGCCACTTTAGTTGTGATACAAACCTTATCAAAACATATAGGCCTATGTGCTAGGCTACATGAGGTGTGTGACTATGATTTGAAAAACTCGCAAAAAAAAGCATGTGCTGTTTGCCTTAAGCTGGGCGTCATTCACAAGTTATAATATATCATTCACAAATGATAGGCTAATATTGTCACCCATCACAATATTTTTGATTTAATCTTGTCTTTACATATACTAAATAATATATGTGTGAAATTTTGTTTGATTTAGAACGGACCATTATCATGCATCTGTCTCGAAACGGGCAGCAGAAAAAAATAAATGTCATCTATGCAGTTAAATAGCGAATGGAGGATGCTTTTCCCATGGTTCATTTTCATGCCAGCCACGTAGGCTATACTCCTGTTTTAAACAGAAGCAATGTGCTTAATATTAGGAAAGTTGAGAAATAAATATAGTAGGCCTAGCCTATAGAAAGCTGATGGGATCCTTCTCTTTTTAATAGAGGCCATCACTCTGTTTTCTCACGCAATTGCACAGCCTATAGAAATGTTGCGCAACATGAGCTCATGGGCTCTCATGAAGTGTTTGATTTTCGATTACATTCGTATTGATATCAGAGTGATTAGAGGGACAATAGAGTGCGGAGTACCAGGCAGTTAGTAAGTTTGGTAGGCTACTAATGACCATCAGCAGCATCAGAGCTTGGAGAAGCCTAATTACCCTGACTAAACAGTCACGTGGAATTTGACTGCCATCATGACTCGTGACCGCCGGTATGGCGGTAATACGGTCACCGTAACAGCCCTAGTCATGACCATAGTAGTTAGTGCAAGACCAGGCTATCTCATCTATCTCAAGGCTCTCATGCCCTTTGACCCCGTTTCCTGTTTGGGCTGCAGGGTTTCTAAACGTGCTGATGAACTGCCAGTGGCAGAGCCTGTGGTGTCAGGTGGAGGGCGGGGTGCTGAAGATGTTCCGAGACAAGGGCTGTGAGGAGAGCCCCCAGTACACGGTGCCACTGAGAGGCTGCCAGGTTAGACCGGACTCCGACACGCCTCAGGCCTACCGCATCACCGTGGTCCAACACGGAGACCAGGTGGCAGTACTGGAGGTAAGAGCTTCGGGGAGAAGTTCCCCCTAGGTGCATATCTAGGATCAGCTTCCCCTCCCCCAATCGTAACCTTACAATTATTGGGGGAAATCCAAAACTGACCCAAGATCAGTATCTAGGGGAAACTTCAACCTACTCCCTGGTAAAAATATGAGGAACATGGTGGATATTCAGCTGGGGCTTTTGGTGTTGTAAAGGGGGTCAGGGATAGTTCATGGATCACTATGAGTTTAGTCACTTAACGTCAGTGTGGTTCAATTAGATCATGGTGGAAAGTCATTCAACACTCTTACATAAAAAAAAAGAGAAACTTGCTATATATACGTGATCACTACCAAAAGCGACCCAATTATTTCCTACAGGTTCATTTTAAATATAAAATAAGTCAAAACCCAAAAAAGGAGCTGTGCAGGATAAAATAGCACCAAATTATTCCTGGAACAGTGCATGGAGTGTTGTTGAAGCTCTCCTTCTTCTTTCTCTGTCTACCTCGTTCTCTTTATCTCTTTCTCACACAACCACTCTCTTGCTCTGTTCATCCATGTCTTTGTTCCAGGCCGGCTGTGCAGATGAGAAAGAGCAGTGGGTGCAGCTCCTGCAGGACGGGAGTGTAAGTCAGGGTCAGACTGACTCTCTGTACCACCATGACATCACCTCAAAATCTGCTGGCGACCTGAGGTAATAAATGTTTATGGTGATCACTTGATCCTTTACTATGTGTCTGATTTAGAGGTCTTCTCGGGTTCAAAAAGTTGGCCCGGACCCGATATTTCATTTTTAAGGGGGACCCAGACACGAATGGACCCGAGAACAATCAGACCTGAACATGGATGGACCCAACAACAACCAGACCTAGACCTGTAGGCCCTTACCAGAACGGATCCGATATTTCTTTTTTAGACCCGAGTGACAAAAAAATGTTTATCGACCAAGTTGCTCTTCTGGTTAACGAATAGGTCTTTATATGTTGGCTAGGCCTTCTATAAGTCAATAAATTCACCGTAGTAGCGTAAAATAAATATGCTGCATACTATTCTGAGTCGTTGTCGGGTCCATTCAGGTCCACTCGGGTCTATCAGCCGTAGTTGCATAGACCCGAGACCGGATGACAATCAAACAGGATCCGACCGGACCCGAGGGAAAAGTTCGAATTTTGGACCCGGGTCAGGTCTCTGGTATTTCGGGTTCAGTCGGACCCGTGAAGACCTTTAGTGTGATTATCTACTATGAAAATCTACAGAACAGGGTCAATATCTACAAAGTGTCTCTGAGTAGGATTGCTGATCTAAAATCAGATTTGATAGATTATATAGACAAATCCTAGATCAGTACTCCTACTCTAAGACACGTTGTGAATACAGGCCCTGAACTATGTTTTAAAATGCATACGGTCACTTGGTTAACATTTTTTTCCTACCATCAGTGGTTTAAAGGAACTAAGGTTCCCGACCTCAAACATGTACATCGACGACCCCTTTCACCAGCTCTATGGAAGTGGCAACTCGCAACCCATCTACTCCAACACAGCTATACTGGAGCACATGGTACGCCCATTCTGGGGGGGGCAAACATGAGCTGTACATGAGTTGTATAGCGAGATTTTAGAAGGATGTTCCGACTTCACTCCTTTGCTACTGTTTTCTTGGGATCTGTGAGACTAAGGCTGGGATTCTAACCAATGCAGATTCATGGACTTCTAAAGGCGACTCATGTTTGAGCTGACATCCATGTCGTGTACGGCGAATACAATCACCAGGAATGTCCGTAAAATTGCCTTTAAAAGTCTATCACAGTGCGCAGGTAGTTAATCTGAGTTGGTTTGAATCCCTGCCTAATACACCGTACAGCATTGTGTGTCCAGGGTTTCGAGAGACTTTGACTTATTGTACCGTCAGGCTTGAATAAGGACATGGTCAGGTGATAGTCAGAAGCGTACATTTCTTTTTTTAATAAACTGTAAAAATAAACTGTAAACAGAAAACAGTACAAAGAAGTCAGTGTGATATTTCAATAGATTTCCTTTGTTTTGCTCTCATCAGTTCCAGAATTCCCAAAAAGTTGCCAGGGGAGAGTCGGTGTTATCTAAGGATTCAGTCAACTACAGCAACACTGAAATCTTTAACAACCACAGTGAGTTGGATTCGACTTTAAAGTAAAACAATTCTACTACATCTAGCTTGAATTAGAAAAATTTCTACATAATTGTATGTTATTATAGATTCTCTGCACAGCATTTACCACCATCATCCAATAGCTTTGTTGCGTTGCAGTTGCATGCTGTTGCATCAATGTAAAACACTACACAGACACAAAGGCATAGTGCTTTATAGTGGTGGGAACCCTGTTACTCTGGTCTCTACCCCACTGTTTTTGAGGAGTTTAGATACAGTATTAAACTTTGGGACTACTTCATGTAATGCCCCCAAGCTTTGGGTTATTTAAGAGCTGAGGGCTGAAGATAGAGTCTGATCCCAGATCTGTTTGTGCTATCATGCCAAACATGAAAATGAGTGATAAGGTAGCACAAACAGATCTGGGACCAGGCTACTGAAAATATGGAACACAGTTGAAAAGAGTGTGCAGGCCAGGAGGGCATGTAAGGCCACGGTTCCTCCAGCTCTTACTCACTATTAAGCAGTGAGCTATGATTCTTTCTCGGAGTTGTGGAGGGAAATACGCCTATGTGCTCTGAATTTGAAGAGCATTGGTTATCTGTCGTTTCTGGTGGTTTGGTCATGGCAGTGGGATCTAGCCTTTTTTCAGAATGTCAGTATAAGGGCCTCTTAATAACACAGGATATCATATTTTCCTGTCAACAAAACTAATTTGAGTCTTTGGAACAGAGTTGAGTTCCATCTTTCAATTTCAAATTGATGCTATTGCTATTACAATATTACTTTTTTCATTAAATGTTAGTGTTTATTTATTTTTTACAAGTATTTAATGTAGGTATTTACTGCAGATTTGTGACAGTGACTGCTCTTTAACAGGTAGTCAATTGTGTGAGGTGGAGCTGGGGGTTCAGAAACTGGACTTGACCGGGAAGAGGTGGTTGCAGCTGAGAGCCGGATCAGAGATGAACCTCATCACTGCAGGGAAGACAACCAAACGCACCTGCTTCAGACGGTCTCTGGCTTTCTGTACAGAACGGGCACAGGTAAGGCCATTGTACGCTGCCACCCACAACCATTTTATGCCATCCATAGAATTCTCATCCCTGAAAATATCCAGGGCACATATACATAAAGTGGCTCAGAGTAGAAGTGCTGATCTATGATCCGGTCCCCCATGTCCATATAATCATATTCATGATGCTCTAAAATGCTAAACTGATCTTAGATCAGCACTCCTTCTCTGAGAAGCTTTATAAATATGGGTTCAGATAGCCTACAGTGAAGTTTTGCGGCACAATGCTGTCACTTGCTGTTTGGAATGCTAGTGTGTTATGCTAGTGTGTTGTACTGAAACTACAAATTGATTCATAGTGTGACATGGGTAGGCCAAACAGAATTTGTCAAATTCCTAAGGTGACTCATTAATAAATCAAGGAAAAAACATCAAAAAGGAAATGTTTAATCTTCTCTCCAGTTTAAGGTTGGACACATTTTCTTCCTTTATTCCTTTCTTGTCTAACAAAATGTATGTGTAACTTGCCTTGATTCCTGTCGTTAGTACAGATGCCTGTGTGTTGAGAAGCAATTAGCCTACAGTACACATACATAGTAGTCCTTCCCAGTCTTTAGATACAATGACCAGAGGAGCCAGTTCAAAGATGAGGCCCTTGATATCATTAGCCAAAAATAACCTCTTCTTGTAGAACTTGAAAGGGTTCTTGGGCCGACCAAAGTTGCTTGACACATTATAAACTCTCCTTACCAGTACGAGTTTGTGTTTTATCTCCTTTTGGCTGGGTCACTGTGACATTGTGGTGAAGTTGGAGCTCCTGACAGCATGGGTCTTCTCTAAGGTCTGTACTCATTTAATAGGCCTTGTCTCAACAGGGTGGGTTCTTCACTCCGCTATTGCGACGGACCGCCTCCGCTAAAAACTCATTGAAAAGAGCCCCTTCCGCCCTATTTATTGAGCATGGCAAGGTGTTTCAGAGAAAGAAGGTAAGCTTTATCCTAAATATGGTCTGATAATCTGATAAGAGCAATCTATTCTGAACATCACTCTGCTCCATTGAGACAACCATATCAAGACAATTTAATGGAGGAATGTAAGTCAAATTGCTAAATATAATTGTTAAATTTAATGTACCATGTGTTCTCTTTGTTTGTATTTTGTAGGATTGGGAGACAAAGGCCTTTACTTGATACTGGTCCTTCTGGTAACCATTACCTTGTACTGTACACATTCCCTGACTTATATTAGTATATGAAGAGTTTCATTCCCAAACGTTATCCTGTAAATCCATTTTCAGATATGTTGGTAAATGAGCTTTTATTGTTTAAAGAAATTATGTAAGCGATTGGTTTGTTTTTTCACTATCTAATCATGGCATGGTTGTTCATTGACAGAAATGTATTTGTTTAAAATCTATCACTTGATGGTTTCATTTCAGAGAGACAAATAATCATGTTTTTTTGCTAAATGCTACTGTATATATCTTCCTCACTCTCAGAGAAATAAGTATTAATGCTAGGTTTACACAGTGAAATTTAACAAATAACTACATTTTTTATAAAGAACGGTACAAATTATACATTTGTGACATCAATATGATTATTTTGTTTACAAATAATATTCATTACAGTAATATGAGATCTGTGTGTAAATCATTTACATTTTACATTTGAGTCATTTAGCAGATGTTCTTATCCAGTGCATTGATCTTAAGATAGCTAGGTGAGACAACCACATTTCACAGAGAAATATACAGGACACGAACATTCCATTCCAGCTAAAGGATGGATATATAGCATCTTTAAAAAAAATACAAATAATTCATACACATCTAAAATCTATGAATAAAAAATCTGAGAACAGTAATATTTTACACACACATGACGGTACCCATAAGCAATAATTTCTGATGAAAAAACACAAATGTGAAAAATGTGTGGATAGAGCGTTTTGGAAATAAACTCTTAATATATTGCACTGAACATATTATTACTGTGCATGTGGATCATGCACCATGTTTTGTCTTTTATTTTGTTTTTGGGGAGTACTTTTTAATTGAATACATCACTTGTTTGTGGTCTTTCCCTGTTTTCCTCTTTTCTACCAAACATTTTTGTCATCAGAAATGTTATCTGTCCTGATGATAATACAGTAACATTATATCTGCCGAATCCCAAATGGCACCATACTCCCTATTTTGTGCACTACTTTTAAACCAAGGCCCTTAGAGGTCTAGTAAAAAGTGCTGCACTTTACAGTTGAAGTCGAAAGTTTACATACACTTAGGTTGGACACATTAAAACTCGTTTTTCAACCACTCCACAAATTCCTTGTTAACAAACTATAGTTTTGTCATGTCAGTTAGGACATCTACTTTGTGCATGACACAAGTAGTTTTTCCAACAATTGTTTACAGACAAATTATTTCACTTATAATTCACTGTATCACAATTCTAGTAGGTCAGAAGTTTACATACACTAAGTTCAGAGTGCCTTTAAACAGCTTGGAAAATTCCAGTAAATGATGTCATGGCTTCAGAAGGTTCTGATAGGCTAATTGACATAATTAGAGTCAATTGGAGGTGTACCTGTGGCTGTATTTCAAGGCCTACTTTCAAACTCAGTGCCTCTTTGCTTGACATCATGGCAAAATCAAAAGAAATCAGCCAAGACCTCAGAAAAAAAATTGTAGACCTCCACAACTCTAGTTAATCCTTGGGAGCAATTTCCAAATGCCTGAAGGTACCACGTTCATCTGTACAAACAATAGTACACAAGTATAAACATCATGGGACCACGCAGCCATCATACCGCTCAGGAAGGAGACGCGTTCTGTCTCCTAGAGATGAACGTACTTTGGTGCGAAAAGTGCAAATCAATCCCAGAACAACAGCAAAGGACCTTGTGAAGATGCTGGAGGAAACAGGTACAAAAGTATCTATATCCACAGTAAAACGAGTCCTATATCGAGATAACCTGAAAGGCCGCTCAGCAAGGAAGAAGCCACTGCTCCAAAACCGCCATTACAAAAGCTTTTATTTCTTTCATCACATCCCCAGTGGGTCAGAAGTTTACGTACACTCAATTAGTATTTGGTAGCATTGCCTTTAATTTGTTTAACTTGGGTCAAACATTTCGGGTAGCCTTCCACAAGCTTCCCACAATAAGTTGGGAGAATTTTGGCCCATTCCTCCTGACAGAGCTGGTCTAACTGAGTCAGGTTTGAAGGCCTCCTTGCTCACACACTCTTTTTCAGTTCTGCCCACATATTTTCTATAGGATTGAGGTCAGGGCTTTGTGATGGCCACTCCAATACCTTGACTTTGCTGTCCTTAAGCCATTTTGCCACAACTTTGGAAGTATGCTTGTGGTCATTGTCCATTGGAAAGACTCATTTGCGACCAAGCTTTAACTGCCTGAATGATATCTTGAGATGTTGCTTCAATATATCCACATAATTTTCCTTCCTCAAGATGCTATCTATTTTGTGAAGTGCACCAGTCCCTCCTGCAGCAAAGCACCCCCACAGCATGATGCTGCCAACACCGTTCTTCACGGTTGGGATGGTGTTCTTTGGCTTGCAAGCAACCCCCTTTTTCCTCCAAACATAACAATGGTCATTATAGCCAAACAGTTCTATTTTTGTTTCATCAGACCAGAGGACATTTCTCCAAAAAGTACGATCTTTGTCCCCATGTGCAGTTGCAAACCATAGTCTGGCTTTTTTATGGCGGTTTTTTAGCAGTGGCTTCTTCCTTGCTGAGTGGCCTTTCAGGTTATGTCGATATAGGACTCGTTTTACTGTGAATATAGATACTTTTGTACCTGTTTCCTCCAGCATCTTCACAAGGTCCTTTGCTGTTGTTCTGGGATTGATTTGCACTTTTCGCACCAAAGTACATTAATCTGTAGGAGACAGAACTCGTCTCCTTCCTGAGGTGTATGACGGCTGCGTGGTCCCATGGTGTTTATACTTGTGTACTATTGTTTGTAGAGATGAATATGGTACCTTCAGGCGTTTGGAAATTGCTCCTAAGGATGAACCAGACTTGTGGAGGTCTACAATTGTTTTTCTGAGGTCTTGGCTGATTTCTTTTGATTTTCCCATGATGTCGAGCAAAGAGGCACTGAGCTTGAAGGTAGGCCTTGAAAAACATCCACAGGTACACCTCCAATTGACTCAAAGGATGTCAATTAGCCTATCAGAAGCTTCTAAAGCCATGACATCATTTTCTCGAATTTTCCAAGCTGTTTAAAGGCACAGTCAAGTTAGTGTATGTAAACTTCTGACCCACTGGAATTGTGATACAGTGAATTATAAGTGAAATAATCTGTCTGTAAACAATTGTTGGAAATATTACTTGTGTCATGCACAAAGTAGATGTCCTAACCAGCTTGCCAAAACTATAGTTTGTTAACAATTTGTGGAGTGGTTGAAAAACGACTTTTAATGACTCCAACCTAATTGTATGTAAACTTCTGACCCACTGGGAATGTGATGAAAGAAATAAAAGCCGAAATAAATCATTCTCTCTACTATTATTCTGAAATTTCACATTCTTAAAATAAAGTGGTGATCCTAACTGACCTAAGACAGGGAATTATTACTAGGATTAAATGTCAGGAATTTTGAAAAACTGAGTTTAAATGTATTTGGCAAAGGTGTATGTCAACTTCCGACTTCCACTGTATATAGGAATAGGGTGCCATTTGGGACGGGCCCTAAGATAAGGCTTGTTTATCCATTCAAGAGATGAAGTGTTTTTATGAAGACATTTTGCTGTTTTACATTTCTGAAAAATTGTGCTATATAAGAGAGAAGTTCTGTATTAAATGTTTGGTTGCCTACAATTTGCTGTAAACACTAATGAAAACATCTATATGTGTTCGATAAAGTATTGCTGGGGTAATGTTTTAATTTTGGCCGAATTTTGGATAGATGTACATTATGGAAGTATAGTCGGTTATTTATCTCAAAGCGTTGACAGATGGTCAAACACACAATAATGCTTTGAATCTCATTAGCAGTTCACTGTCAGATGAGATTGTGTATAAACCATATGTCAACACTGATAATGTACAGTGTTGACATATGGTTTATACACAATCTCATCTGCTTAACAATGTGTAAAATAAAGTGTGGATTGTCTGGAAAGTCTGGAAATAATTTTCTGAGGCTGTACGGAGTCAAAGCCGATTCAAAAGTCAAAAGGGCGCGAGATGAAACATCATTGTGCGAGTAAAACACGAGTTGAGAGAGAAGGAATGTGGTCGAGTGAGCAGATGACAGGTCCCACGAGGGCAGGTCAGCATGGTGAGCGCAAATTAAACTTGAGAGCTTGTCAGTGTGACTTTGAGCAAGCAGAACTGCATTTCCTCAAGCAGTAAATTAATTTGAGAGCAGAGATTTTTGTTCATCTGAAGATATACTTACTACATGTCAAAACAAACATTTCTGCACTCACAAATACGCTGTGTCCCCACACAGATATCTCCTCTCCCTCTTCAAGTAGGTTACCTTGGCTCTCCTCTATGCACAGCATTCTGGGGACTTCCTGCAGGTAACCATGACATCCACCAATCAACCACCATGCTTGAAATTATGAAGGGTGGTACTCAGTGATGTGTTGTGTTGGATTTGCCCCAAACATAACGCTTATTCAGGAAATGTGTCTACAACATTAATATGTTCTCCCTAGAATTGTTAGCTGGGTATCCATAGTTGCCTCTTTTGATAAAGCCACAGCAGTCTTAAAATTAAAGATGTTAAAACATTTAAACTCCAATTGAACTGCTGACATTGTCGTGACGTGACTTTAATGTATGACTGTTATTTATCGAATCACCCATCTATGTTTAATTGTCACTCGATTAAATTAATCATGTAACCATTAACTCATTAGGAATTTGGGGCACCACGGAAGAAGTTGTTTAACGAGTTACCATCTCCCGAATTAAACTCTTAGAAGATATATATGTTATATAT